TTATAATGTAATAATAATAATTATATTAATATATTGACCACACTTGAATTGTAAATTATAATATTTAAATAAATTTATTAATTTCATTTATTATGTTCTCTTTTTTTTTTATTTTTTAAATTTTATTTCAAATTTTACTTCAAATTTACTTCAAATTTTACTTCTATTTTAATATTCACCAAATTTTATTTTTTCTATTATACATAATTTTTTTTTTGTAATAATATCTTGTATACGTAATTATTATAAAATTTATGTGCTATATGTACATTATGTATGTACATATGTATATGTAGAAATCAAATTTTGATATTTAAGTAGGTATTTAGGTAGGTAGGTACACCAATATTCCGCTCCAAAATAATTGATTGTATGTAATAATAAAAAAATATTATTATTAGTAATTGTGCAAATATTACATGAAAATTTCGCAACCCACGAAAAATTTTTTCTTTAAAAAAAAACAGCAAGATATTTAAGGCACTTTTTATTATTTTTATTATTATTTTTTTTTTAACCAAATTGCAGTGTTATCCAAAATTCAAATATTTTTCTTTTCGTTTTAATTTTCAAATGGAAAATTATATAAAATAATAATACAAAAAAAAAAAATAAATCAATATTAAATTATTTTTTTTTTTCTATTTAAATTTTAAAACTAAAAATTTAAAAAAAATTTATAAAATAAAATAAAAATCTTAAGAGAACCCGTAAATTTAATATACGTGTAACAAAAAAAAATTTTTTTTTTTTGTTTTTCTTTTTGTGTTTCAATCGATCGACATATTGCTCAGTGAATCGCGTTTTGGCAACTGTTGAGCACCTTAAACGAGAAACAAGAAAATACCTGGTCGGAGGAGTAAATTTGAACAAAGAAGTAAGAAAAAAAAAAGTAAACTACATTTTTCTTTTCTTTTCTTCTTTTTCTCTTGCCTCTTTTTAAGTCAGATACTCAGATAGATACAAACAATGGTGGAAATTGATTTTTTTTTTGCCTTCTCTTTATAAATATGTACAAGAATTCCTCTTTTCCTATAATAAAAAAAAATATTATTGTAATTTTTATGGTATCTCATATAATTTTTGTTTTAAAAACGAAATACAATTATACGAGTACAAGCATAATAAACACACCACATTAAGAAGGTACATAAAACCAGACCAGAGTGTAAAATTGTAAAATTTCTCATTCATTTCTATAGTTTTATTGTTCTTTCTGCTACATTAAAGTATCTACATACATAAACTTATTCAGATTGTGAGCAAAGATTTTAAAGATTCAAGAAATTATAAAAATAAATACAATAAAGTAAAATGATATTTTAAAATATTTCTCTCTTTTAAACTCTTCTAAAATAATTCTCAAATTAATTATGAAAAAAAAAAAAAATTCATTCGCCGATGACCGACCATATGCCATTAATAAAATTTAAATATATTCTCAATTTTCATATTTACTCATTTTTGATTTGCAGCTCGAATACACTTGACCATCAAATAGCGCGATATTTTAAATTTTACATAAAATTTTAATATAGCGCAAAATACCACGAATGGTACAGAAGTATTTGCGACAACTTAGATATGTTACTCTCCAATACATATTCGTAGGTTTGTTGTTCATCAAGAATTAAATTGTTGTTAAAAATAAATAATTATTATTTTCTTGTTTCAGTAATTTATATACTTTTTCAATAAAGTTTATTTGTTTAAACAGCTCCTATAAAATATGTAGTTACGCACTGGAGTTTTGACACACCTATAGCTATTTACATGACGTTCAAATTCTGTTGTATTACGGAATAGTACAACGGCCTTATTTAAAATGGTCAAGTGTAGTATTTTTTCATATTCCATTGCATGTAGCTACATATTATTTTCTTCTTTAATCTAATCTTAAAAGTTCTCTTACGATTCAATGCGAAGCGAAGACTAAATAATATTTTAGTACAAAGTGAATGGGAGAAGAAAAAATTTGGGTAAGTAACGAATTCTCGAAAATGAAAAAGTAGACAAAATTGCAAACAAAAAATTTTATTCACAATAAAATTTTCATAAAAAATCACATAGCGCAAACCCAACGTACTCAAACCATAATTCCAATATGTGTATATGTACAGTTGTAAATTTAATTTATAATTTCAAAATTAAATAATTTAAAATAGGTTTTGTGGTTCTTAAACTACAACAGCGTATGATCACTTGAATAATAAAAAGTTTCAACTACATAAGCACGCTCTTAAATTAACGGTATAATAACGGTATTATAAGTACTTTAATATTTAATTATTTTAATTTGAAAATAACTTGGACCATTCTGATTAATATTTAATTTATTTTATTTTGTCAATTAACATTTATGGGATTCAGTAGTTATTCCGTTCTTATTTTTAAAATACTTTAAAATTTTAGTTTTAATTTTATATTTTAAATTTTGAGTTTTGAGATAACGTACCTTCTCTTTTATTGAGCCTAAAAATTTAATTATCAATATTCTCTTGAATGAAGACGGCAATGAGCATAACATAAAACATAATTTATTTAATTTAATATTTTTTAATGAGAAAAGAGAAAATAAGCATCTATAAGATATTGGTAAGAGCGTAAAGTAGCATTCTTCACGGCACAATCATTTAATTTTTATTTGCTTTTTCTTTAAAACTGAGAATACGAGTATATAAATTTTAGAATTCTCAAGAGATACTTTTTTTATAGCAAAGTTCATATTATATTTTTTTATTATTTCTTGTTTTACTATAAAACTGGTAAAAAAAAAACATAAAATAAAAACAAAATTTTAGCGATCTAACCATTAAATCGAGAAGATAATATTGTAGTACTGGAGTTTGATGCTAAATAATTGTCATACAACTATGTTTTTTTTAATTTTTTGAATTTAAATTAATGATTCTTTATTAAACAAAATAAAAATATCAGAAATTAAATGACGTGACATTGACGACACTTCCCATAATATATCAATTATTTACTAATACACCATAAGCTTAAATATATTTAATTTAAAGATTTTATTGAGTTCAGAATTAATTGTGGAGAGCGATAATATATATAATACACTTTTAGTGTAATTTCCATTTTTTATGTACTGTAAATTTTGAGGGATTTTCAATAATTCAAACACACATTCATAGTTGTAAAATAAATCTTAAAAGTCTCTTCTCAAATGCTTAGAAATATAAAAACTCTGAATATTTTACTGTTGCAAATTGGTAGCATACTCGAGCAATTCTTCAATATCCAAAAATTTTTTTATCATATTATGCAGGAGCATATAAATTAGAAGAGGACTTCTAATTTAGCACAATTGTAATTTTCGAACATTCTATTTTTACAGATTTTCCAGTTTAAATTTATCGAACATACTTTATATTAAGACCTAAGTTAGAACTGAATTGCATATAATACAATAGTCTCAAAATATATTTAAAATAAAAAATTATAGAATTTCATTTTCAATTTTGCTATGAAATCATATAATTAGTTTTTGACCTTTACAGAATTAATACATAATACTATATATGTATATACATATCAAATTAATGTTTATATGCAATAAGAATGTTGGAAGATACTTATGTATATGTATATACATACATATATATATATATGATTTAAAATCATATTACACTTAGTAAATGTTGCATAAAAATTGCAAAGAAAAAACAAAAAAAAATCAACATTCAGAAAAAACCTAAAATTTTTTTAGATACTAAAAAATTTAGTATATAGATACTATGTATATACTTATATGTATAATAGCCATTATGCATTTTAGAATATGTTGGCTCTCAAAAACCGGATTTTCCTTTTTGTAAAATATAAAATTAACACATAAACATAAACCATAACATAACGTTAGGTAAATTTGCTGAAAATATTACGATTTTATTCTCAATTTTCTCTTTCTTTAAAAAATGAAACAAAAAATTGAGAAAAACTATATATAAATATTTGAAAAACAAGTTAATAAAACAAAATCTCAAAATTTTATTAGCATTATTAATTTTATCTCACAATATGAAAATTGAAATATATGTATGTGTAAACTGTCTAAGAACAAATTCAATGTGGTATTTTTAATTCCATAAGATTCCATGAGAATAAAATAATTAATTAACATTTAAGTATTCTTTATACAAAATTTAACTTTTAATATAAATATTCAAATAATTTTTTAATCTTATGATAAATGCCATAATTATGGTCCAAGCAAACGTTTCTACAATTTATACATGGTTTTCAACAAACATAATATAGGCATATTTCGTATAATTTTTCTCTTTCAACTTCCAAATATTTTTTAAGAAAAGTTTTAAATTAAAATATAATTCTTGGTTGTTTATAGCAAGCATCTCATCCATTGTTTCCTTTAGCTGAATATCAATCTGAAAAGTGGTAAAAAAACAAAACAGATATAAAACATTATATAATAAAAGGTTAAAGCAGAGAATATAAGAGAAAATTAAGAGGAATACCAATTGAGATTTATGGTAAAGTATCGAAGACTGGATGAAAAGAACAAAATTCTTATGAAATTCCTACAAAAAATGTCATCTCAATGTGTACATTAAGCGGATCTCAATTTTCAGCATATTTACCATTTTAAATACTTTCATCTTACAAGCAATTTTTAATCTTGATTTTAAGATGAGACTTTTAACAATATTTTTATAGCAAATTCTCTTCAACTTTTTGTTTTTTAAATTTGGATCGTTTTTTTAAGAGAAATATGTCCGATATGCTTGGAAATCGATATACATTGAGTAAAACGTTCAAAAGACCAAATTTCAGTTAAATTTCCTTAGGTGTCTATAGAATCTTAATATATTTTAAAAATTAATTATTTGCGATTATTACACACAATAGAACTTTTAAAATTCTATAGAAATATTATTGGACTTACAAAATCCTATTAGAAAAAAAAATTAAATTTTAAAATAAAATCATATAAAAATGGTTTGTAAAATAAACTTTAATTATCAAAAAAAAAAAAAAATTTTAGTAAAAAAAAAATGCGATACAGTGTTTGTATATTGTATAAAACTATAAATAACTATTTTTGTGCTTGTTCTTCTTCTTCTTCTTAACATTTTTTAAGCTTCTATTCGGAAAACAATGTTGTTTCTGTCCAATATGTAAAATTTTTTTTTAAAAAACTTTCAAAATTCATTCATTGTATATGGTTATTAAAATAAATAAAAAGTTTTTGATTTCTATACAAGCTTTTTAGCCATTTCTGTTGCAATTGAACTTATGTGATTTTCTGATGATTCTTTTATTGTTCTTTTCGGCCGTGAAAGCCTAACAGAATGAGTATTATTGGTGAAAAAACCGCCATCACCTATAATTATAAATGAAATATTCATTTTCTATGTAAAATTGGAAAGAATCACTTTAAATGAAATGACTTATTTTAATATTTTTAATTCTCTCAAATTAAAAAGAAAAATAGGAAACCCTAAACTAAAAAATAAAAAGTTTTAATGATAAAATAAAAAGAATTTTTTATTTCAACTGCTTTCAAAAAAATTTTTATTTCCCTTTATTTCCATGTATAAAAACATACTGCATAATATAATTAACATTTTAATAAAAATTATAAAATTTACGATTTTTTTAGGACAATATTTTTTGATTAAATTTTTACTTTTCTTTCTTGCATATAAAATGGTTATTCATCTTTCATTTAATTTAAACTCATTATAAAAAACAAATAAGACATTTCATTTTAGAGTTTGAATAAAATTATATAAGATGTCTTTAAATGCAATTAATTTTAATTTGCTTGATTATTTTATGCTGCCAAAAAATATTCAAAATTTTTTTAGGTATCATCAATGTGATAATACGATTAATCATTGGAGATTGTTTTATTTGTTTTTGTCAAAATATTTGCTGTTCTTATTTCTGTTCTTCTATTTCTATAATTTAATTTCTTTAAAAAATTTTATACAAAGACTATGCCAATATTTAGGAAAATATGTAAGTAAAATCATTTCCATATTCAATACATTTTTGACAGCAATAAAATAATAAAATCAGCGATAAAACTAATTAAGGACTAAGGAATTTAATAACTATTTTATACTTATGTGCATACAGTTGAGTTTAATTTTTTTTTTATATAAAAATGTTTTGAAATGCTAAATCAACTGATTTTTTATCTTTCTAACTTTAACAGTAATATTCTCGCAATAAAATTCTGTAACTATTTTTTCTTACTTTTAACTACTTTTTCAGTCATATCATCGTAATTTTCATCTTGAATATTCAACATCAAGCTATTGGTTGATAGGAACACCTTATTTTGGGAATTTGCGATCTACAAAGAATAAAAAAAATAAAATAATTTCGAATTAGAAAAAAATTAACATTAATGTACCGTTCTAGCTATACTTTGAGCTGCACGAATTTTCCTCAATTTAAGATAAGCAGGATTTTGGCTCACAGCAATACCTAAGTAAATATATCTGTCAAGGAAAATTGTTTCAAATATTATAAAAATAGTAACATGTAAATAAAAATTGAATCGTCTTGCAATAATATAAAGATAGTAAGAAATTTAAATATTCAATACATAATAAAAAATTATATTTATTATTTTGAAAAGGATATCATTTTTGCTGCTTCAGCTTCACCCTCAGCTTGAACAATTTTATGTTGTTTTTCTTGTTTAGCACGTTCTACAAAGAATACCGCACGTTGAGCTTCTTGTTGAGCAACTTGTTTAGCTTCAACTGCAGCAGTATACTCTTTGCCAAAACTTAATTCTACGAGAGAAACATCATCCAAAATTATATTAAAGTCGCGTGCACGTTCAACAAGTTCACGGCGAATCAATAAGGAAACCTTAAAATGAAAATAATATTGATCAAAATTTTTATTGTATACATTTATATAAATATTAAAATTACATTGTATTTTTTATATTTACCTGTTGACGTTGTGTAATTAACTGCGATGCATTGAATTTCGCTACGACACTTTTTAATACCTCATTGCAAATTGATGGTAAAACTTTTTCATCATAATCTAAGCCCAATTGACGATACATTTGTGGGAGTTTTATGGAATCTGGACGTGAGAGTACACGCAAAGATATATTTACCATTTGCAAATCTTTAGAACCGGATGGTGAAGACATTTTTCTTGGTCGGGAACGAATATCATATATTATTGGATATTGAAACCATGGAATACGGAAATGTAACCCTTCTGAATAGATATCATCTTGAACACCACCAATTCGATTAAATATTATAGCACGATGACCACCTTCAACTGCAATTTATATAATAAGAATGTCGATTATGCAATATATGTGAAATTTATTGTCTAATATAAACATATTTCAAGATATCATGTAATCGTATGTATACAAATGTGATGAGTACCATTTCAATTTCAAATGAACTACATTAACTTAACTTTTTTAACATAAAATTTTGATAGATATACATATACCTATACATAAATGTATGTATGTATGTAACTACATATTGAAATATTTAAATTCTTCATGAAATTCTTTAGTGAGGTTAGAATTTATTTTTTTATTTTTTTGATATAACATTTACTTTAGTGTTGGAAAAGTGTAATTTACCTGTATATAAAGATTGTGAAATACCATATGCTGCAGCTCCTGCAGCAGCAAGAAACTTTAATCCGGTAGCTAGACCTGGTGGACCTCCCTTTCCAAATTTTCCGGCCAGGTCATTTAACTTACTTTGAGCCATTTTCAATTATACAATTTATTCAGTTTTTTAGATTAATATTTTTTGTTTAATATTATTTAGATTAATATTACTTTGTGAAATCGGATGTGAAATTTTAAAGATATTAAACTTAAAATTGTTTAATAGTTAAAAAAAGAAAATAATGTGATAATCTCACACGACTTTTCACCACCCAATGTATGACAGCTATTGAATACGATTATTGACTTGACATCCGAATAACAAACGGAATTACAATAATTTAACCGACGCGCAATCATAGCTATTATGAAAAGTCATTTAACAATGTGCGAAGCCTCTTATTTCCAAAAAATCAAATACATAATATTTTGGTGTTATATTCACATATAATAAAATTTCAACCTAACATCTTATTAACATTATATCTGATAATATATTATTTTTAAACAGCACGTTATGAAGAGTGTTTGGTACTGTACGGTAGGGTAAAAATTAAATTTTTACATGTCCGACCAAAATTATATCAGACTTTACGTCAAAATTTAACTAACGAAAATCATGCCCAAAATAAAAATCAACTGATCGCTGCTCAAAACATTCGCAAAAAATTAATTGTCGCCATTTCGCTTTTAAAAAATCAATCATTAAATCTGGTGATAAATGATTTATATTAAGATAAAGTTGTCCAAGATTATTTTCATCAGATCTTAGGTTTGATATATTCTACTGCAGCAGGCTGTCAAATGTATTTAAGCTACTCGACGCCTTGTGATATTAGCAAGAAAAATTTCGAACTACTGTGAATGAAAAGAATTTCAAAACAAGCACATGTTTGTCAAAAGACTATTTCTTCAAGACAATTTCCAAAAGCAAAAACAAAATAAAACAATATTTTCGTTATGTCAGAAACATATGTTATTATTATTGTTTTCTTTTGTTGTTAAAGAAAACCTTCTAAGTTGAATTCTATTCATTTCCGAATTTCATATAAAAAGTTTTATCCTTTTTAAATTTTATTTATTTTAAATGATTAAGTTTATCAGTACACTAAGAATGGTTTATATCGGCTATTACGTTATTTGAAATTTAAAATATGAATATAAATATTCACAAATATACCTAAATAAGTAATTTAATTGCATATGTGCAATAATTCCGCTTTCCTACAAAACAAAAAATACTGTCATAACACAATAATTCCGCTCTCCTACAAAACAAAAAATACTGTCATAACGCCGTTGTGGCTACTAAAATCAATTTATCTTGAATGTAGATTCATTAAGTTTAAATTAGTATTGTAAATAATTTTGTTTTCTTTGTTATTAAAATATAGAATTTTTTTATCAAAATAATTGGAAACAATCTACATTAAACCAAATCAATAATGTAAATAAGTGTAAATTTAAAGAATATAATATTTTAACACATATGTACGTTTTACAAGACTGATGAACTGTGATGCAATTAAATAATTTTTAAATTCAGTCATAAAAATGGATCCAGTTCAAAAGGAGCTCCTTTTTAATTCATGGTCGAAAGTAAATGAAATTGCTTTAATAAAAGTGGTAAGTGGTTTCTCATAAATTTTCATTAATAAGGCATACGAAATTGTTCGTGCTATATTAAATAATTACTGTTTTAGGTTGTTTCAAGGGGTCAACATATAGATTTATGTGTAGAATTTTTATCTAAAAGTAAAAATATTTCGCAAGAAGAGGCTTCTGAGTTTTTTCATGAAGTAATTGACACATATGTATATCGTCTACTCTCGGACAAGTCCATATCTAAAGCGCAACAAGTGCTAAAAAATGTATCAAGAGATTACAAAAGTATTTATTATCAATTTGCTTTTGAGTCAGCCGATGATAAAATTAAGAATGCAATATTTGATTATTTAAGTCAAGAAAATAGTGATTTCGAAGATGAAAAAAGAAAATATAAATTTTATTTAGATGTTTTAAAGGAAATCAAAAACGAACCAAAATTAAGTAATATTATCAAACGGAAGATTAAAATGTTTAACTTAGAAAATTTTCTCAAAATGGATGAAAAATTTCAGAAGAGCTTAATAATTCGTTTATATTTTTTTAACAAAAATAATAATTTACTTGAAATTTTATCTAAAGAAGATATTTGGGAATATTTAGTTGATGATAATATAGAATCGGAAATAATTCTTTGGTGTAAAATACAAAAAGGGGATGTTACGCGCTTGGAATTTGAATTACATAAAAAATATTTAGAATGGAAAATTGATAATAAAATGTTTTCATATGCTTCAAAATATTTAAAAAGCTCAAGTGAAAATTTACGGGATTTATTCCTTTTCTATGGTTTTATATTTGATGATGAAAAAAATGATATTAAAAAAATTTCCGATAGAATTATTAGAACAAAATATACTCACACTTTAGATGAAAATATTGGAGTTGTTAAAAGTTTTCCTATAGCTGAATATGCTGTAGAAAATAATTGCTTAGTAATGTTACTACAAAAATTTATTCAAATTGAGGATATAGAAAAATTGAAAACTTCTTATCCAGATAAAATTGAATTATTTGATTTAATAATTACTTTAAAATCATTTAATCCTACTTCTGAAAATTTTCTAAAAGTATGCCAAGCTGCTAGAAAATACTATGAAAAAGAAGATAAAAATTATTTAGAAAAAAATCCATTAGTAGCTCTTGCTGAATATTTAGTGGCAGGAAAAGATATAAAATCATTAAATGATGACCAAAGTCCTGAAGCTTGTGCAATCAAATCGATTCCTTTAATTGATAACCTTGTTAAACGATTAAACGGAAAAATACCTGGAATAAATGCAATTGAAATGTTTAAAATAAAAACTGGAATCGATTTAAAAGAGATGGGTGAAACTGAATTCGGTGATGAACCCGCCTCATTTTCAAATTCCAAAATGATAGCAAAATATGGAATGAAATTTAATTTAAATTATACACATTTTATTAGGCAAAATCTCAGTTCTTATGCTATTTATAAATTTTTAATGGAGCAGTTCAATAAATATGGGCAGATAAGTAAAGTTTTTACTTTAACATGCTTTTATGAATGCTTTAAAAAATTTTTATTTCAGATAAATCACAATTTTATTACGCAGTCGAAACGGTTTCAGAACTAGCTTTATCAGATTATAATAATTTGGATTTAGCAAGACATTGTGTTGTATTTATAGAACAACTTGGATTTGATTCCCAAAATTTACGTTGTCTTCTTATGGCTTTAAGAATTTGCAATAACAATAAATTAAGCTCTTTAGATTATAAGAGCATTATTTCAATGGCAGAAGATAAACTTTTGGGAGATCCTAATAATCTTGAAAATATTTACAATTCCGAATTCTCAATCAAAGAGTATTCTGCTTTGATTAAAGTTGCGAAATTTACTGGGAAAAAATATTGGCCCCAACGATTTTTGAATTTTTTAGCTAAAAAAGATGATTGGCTGAAATTACTTTTGTTTATTCAGTATTTTGATATATCTTTAGACATCGTTAAAAATGTTTGCAAATTTTTTAACACACCTGAAATTGGTGAAAATTTTTTGCAAGCTGTAACATTTGAGGGTGCTGATCAAATTTTTAAAAGTTCCAGCGGTAATATAGCGACAACATCGAAAAGAAGACCAAGTTTCAAGAGAAATAGATACAATAAAACGGATAAGCACAAGGTACATTAACACTCTTGCTATGTCATAAATTTATCATGAATTACGTGCAAATAAATAAAACGTTTACAATAATAAAAACTTTAATTTTTAAGAATGCAGCTAATGAGACAATATCATCTCACTCGGATTCTGGAAATAGTTCAGTTTCATATTTTAAATTAAGAAACGAACTTGCAAATAAATGTCTTGAAGGTCGGATTGACATATTTGCCTTAATAATTTTAAGTACAACTAGCATTCCAGAAGAAAGGATTTCATCTTTGGAAAATTTTCTAGAAATTATAAACAGTTCAAATTTATATTCGACAAGTTTCAATTTATTAAAAAGATGCGTACAACATGAACTTCCTATTTTATCTGTTCTTTCCGCAGAAGCATTTAAAGATAATATTGATTGGTGCTGGTTAACTTGGCTGAGTGTTTCTATCGACTCTTTTAAGAAATTGTCCACATTTTCTTCAGAACAAACCAAACAAATTACCACGACTATGGTAGAATTAGCTGTAAAAGAGCATTATATCCAAACATTATATAGAAGTTTTTTTATTTTTTATGTAATTTTTTATTTTTTATGTAACTACCAAAGTGAAAAATAACTACCAAATTTCTTTTTTAGGATAGTAACTTTATTTTCTTACTAAAATTTCTGGAATTAACAAATGATTTAAACTTTACTGATGAATCAATTTTTCAATTAAGCAGTTTTTTTGATTCATTGAGTAATGATGAAATTAGTCTTCCATTTATTCAGCTGGATACAGAAGAACTACATATTTTTGCAACAAAAATTTTACTATTACATGTTGAAAACAATTTTCGTTCTCGGTATTATCAGTTAAAATTTCTCAAACTAATTGCTGAACTTAATAATATAGAGTTAAATAAAATATTAGAGTTTGAACTATTGGCCAAAATTTCTGAATTGATCATGGATACAAAGATATATTTAAACTTTGAATCACTGTTACCAAAATCTTGTATGAAATCGACTATACAAAATTCTTACAGCAAATACAAGACTGTACTGGATGATTTATTAGAAATAAAAGAATATGATAAAGCTATTAAACTTGCATACTTAATAGAAAATGTGCTAGATAAACCAATAAGCAATATTATATTTACAAAATGGATCACTGAATTGGATTTAAGAGAAACAGATTTTAATTTTAGTCTATACGAAAAAGATACAGAGGAGCACTCATTACCGCCAGAATTCTTAGTAAATTTTTGTTTATATGCTGCAGTACAATTTCCTGATTGTGATTTTAGAAGATATTTGTTTTATAAAAATGCTCTCAATGTGATAAAAAAGAATAAATTATTTGGAAATGAGTCATTTGACCGTGATCAAATTGAATTTGATATGGTTATGGTATTTTTAAGAAGTAATAAGAACATAGAAGATATTGATATTTATCATTCGGGTAATTCATATTTTTTCCGATATTCTATTTTATGCTTAATTATATATTTCTTTTTAGAATATTACGAGGAAATTCTATTAAAAGAACGATGTGTTTTGTTTAAAACTTTACTAGAGCTTAAAGAATTAGCTGGAGCTTATAATTTGACAGTAAATTTAAAAAGTTCATTGTCGATAGAGATGAAAGCAAAATTGTCAAAACTGCTCGATAATTTATTAGAAAACGGTGATATAGTTGAAGCATTTCGTTTACAAGAAATGTTTGAAAGTCCAACTGCCGACTTGCGTTATTTGACCCTTTGTATGGCTTTAGCCGAAGGCTTAATATCAGTTTCTAATTTAACCGATGAAGAAAGATCTTTATATTCAAATGTAGAGAAAAATAATGCTGTATTTTCAAGAAAAACTTTAGAGGGGAGAAAAGTTCGAGAGCCAGATATATTTAGAAGAGGGATATCAAACAGTTCAATTAATCTTAAAGCCGAAGAAGTATCTTTAAAAGAAAAAGAACAGATTTTAACCATGTTGCAGGATATGACAGGAAATTTAAAATACGGTGATCGCATTGGAAAACGAATTGTATTTGTTTTTCGAGCGGCAATGTATCTTGATAAAGAATATACTGATATGTTGAGAACAAAAGATACATCTACATTATTATTGAGCGCTACTAATGAAAATTGCCCAAAAAAACTTTTAGTAGTAAACGATATATTTGCATCTTCACAAATGACTGCAAATGAGGTAATTCTTTTAACAATTGTATTAAATTCTTTTTGAAATTTCGCTTTTTTTTGTTAGATTGCGGAATATCTTTCGCATGAAATCACAATTGCTATTGTTCGTCCAGTATATTATTTATTAACTACGGATCAGCAAAATATAAGGCAACTTAAACCTGCCACACTTTGGGGATATGATATTGATAAAGAGTTTCATTTAATTTTAGAAATATGTCCGAAACCATCTTTACTTGGCAAATGTCTTTTAAAATATTGCGATGTTCTTAGTGTTTATCGTAAATTTCAAAATAATGAAGAATATGAACATTCAGCAATATTTGAATCATTTTATAATATATTGCAATCTTATGGTATTCCAAATGAACCTTCAACCAGTAATACAACTGAACAAGTTTTGTCTTATAAAAAGAAAAATACAATTTATATTGAACTTTTAATATTCGCATATAAATGTTTCGTTCATGAATGTCATATGGAAGGAATGATTAACGTTCTAGAAAGGGCTCAAAAATTAAATTCTCAACTTGAAATAGCAAAATCATGGAAACTTATTTGTAGAATGTTAATAGGAATAGGACAATATCGTGAAATGTCCTATTGCTTTGATACATTGATTAAAAATGAACAATTTGAATCATTGCTTGGTGCACAATATGATGATGAAAAGTCTCAAGAATTTAAATATGCTCTAATATCATATTTAAGAGAATTTTGTCCTAATTCTCAAGAATATATAAAATTAGTTGCTATAAGATTTGCTATGTTTTCAGAAATTGCTGAAATATTAATGAACGATGCTAATCAAAAATTATCAACAGTATTAACAAAATATCAGACAAATGAATTTAATAGAGCTCAAGATAGTTTTATAAAATTTTTAAAATTTAGTCCTGAAATAATAAAAGATTTAGAAGAAATTAGAGATTCCTTTGCTCAAGCAGCTGAAAATTATTTATTTGATGAAAAACTTCGTACTTCAAGTAAAACAGCTCAAATGGCTCAATTAATAGCTATGCAATTGGGTATTATAAATTTTAATTTATCATTAAATCAGTCCGATGTTGGAACCGAAATTTTATGTATATCCGTAATTAATGTTAAATCGAAAAAAGAATTTTGTGAACTTGTTAATAAAAATTTAAATAAATGTTTTCAAGCTATGATATTATCAAATTCATATCCAGAATATCCAATACAATGGCATGAAATTTTATTATGGCAATATATTATATTAAATAATGAAAATTATTTAAAAGAATTTTGTTATCATTTTGAATTAACAGATGCGATAATAGAAAATATTGTAACTGGGTAAATTGCAAGTACATTTTTTATAAGTAAAATAAAATTTAATTAAGTTTTTTGTTTTTCTATTTTAGATATCAAAATTACTGTAAAACAAATATTGGTTATATGAAAATGGAAGAAAATTTGCAAAATTTAGTAATGAAAATAAAATCTGTTACATTAAAATATCGTCTGGCATCATTTATGAGCTTTAAAAATATTATAACAGATATTTTAAATGACGATAATAGTATTTATTATCTAAAAGACACTAATTATGGAGAAAAAGAAATTGTTGATGATGGTTTATTATAAAATTATTAATAATAAAATTTTTTGTTTTAATTATATTCAAAGTATAGATTTACATATTTGTTTTTATTATATAATATTAATTTTTTTTTTATATAATATTGTATATAATTTTAAAACAAAGGTGTTCTATCAAAATTTCAGATCTAATGTCGGCTTAACTTATTCAGATTTTTATTGTTTTATTTACTGAATAAGTAAATTTAACTTTAGAATTGTATTTTTGGTAGACAACCAAATATTATGTAGAAATTTATCACCCAAGCTTATTAGAAAGTTATTATTTGTTTTTTAAAAATTATTTTATACACTTATTAATCTTTATTATTCCTTAAATATATCGTTATTATAAACAATGTATAAAAATGTTAGCAGTGAAAAGAAAGAAATAAATAAAAATTTTAAATATAGTAGAAAAGAAATATGTTTAATAAATATTTGTAAATTGAAGAAAAGTAAACCATAGAAATTTTTCTTAAATAATTTTTGTAAAAAAAAACTCAAATAATCAAAGACTTAAATGAATATATAATATGTGTAAATTTTTTGAAAAATTATTATAAATTCATAGAAATTATAGATTTTTATAGAAAACGTAGAATTTTAATAAATTTCAGGTTTTTGTAAAATTTCATATCTTAAAATGCTATAAGAAGATCAACATATTTTATAAATAATATGGAAAATTTAAAAACTCAAAACAAAGAAAAAAAAATATTTAAAGTATTTTGTAAAAACATTTTATTTTATTTAAAATTAAAATTTGTATTTCCTTTTTATAATCACCAATTTTAAATTTCTGTTTCAATTCTAATTATCTACATTTAATTTTAAATTAATGTAATTAATTATACATATTACAAATTTGATTGTTGTTTTTTTTTGTATTATTTCATTTTCATAATTTTAGAAAATTTAAATGTTAATATATACAAGTGGATAATTATGTTATATAAAAATATAAATTGTATAAGTTCTTATATTAAAATTATTATCATATCAAGAAATAAATATTTTATGTATTTTATAAATGGTGGTTTTTCAATAATTTTATTCAAAATAATTTTCTTAAGAAAACAAAAAAATAAAATAATTATGCAAAAAATTTTTTTAATTTTCAAATTGCATATACTTACATAAATTAAGAAATGTTTTACAAAGCTTTAGTTAAAAATTTTTATTTTGTATTTAAAAAATACAAGATTGATTCGTCTTTTTTCTTATATAACACCTTCTTTACATTAACTCAATAACATTATTACAAACAATTGCATACTATCGTGTATTATTTTCAAAAATTTTTGTATTGAATGAAGAATCATAAACCTGTAAACAAAATATAGCAATCAGATAAATTGGAGACAAGATGGATTTTTTTTTTAAATTATTTTGAAAACTAAGATTATGAATAAATTAATTATATCTGGTATCTAATCAATAAATTAATAATTAATAAATTAAATAACTAGAGCAAATAATAATTAATCTAGTTATTTAATTTAGAGCTACATTTAATCTAATTTAAACACATGAAGTTATTGAAATTTTATAAAATGAAAACCAGAATACTCTAGTTGTTTTTTAAAATAATAAAAATTTTCAATAATATTGTATTAATTGACAATCTGTAATTCGATAGAGTCCGTCCATTCTGCAAAATATTATAACTTAAAATTATTAAATTAAATATTTTGTCTACCTTAAATTAAAGAAAAATCAAAATTATAAAGTGAAATCCAATGAATTTTAAAAGTATGATTTTTAATAAACTTTATATAATGCACATTAGGATAAATAAAATAAAAAACAATTTTATTTTTTATTTTTTTTTTGTAAAACATTTATTAATTTTATCTCTTATAACTATAGAAATTTTTGTTTTATTTTTAACATAACAACTTAATATATATAGTATACATAATTTTGGTTTTGATTTTATTTTATTTTTAAAACTTAAACTACAATATAATTCCAATTTTAATTGATATTTGTTTATAATGAAAAATTATTTGTTTGAAATTAAAAACAAAAAAAAAAAATATATGAAAATATAATAATTTCATAATAAATGAAATAGATGAAATTTAAACAATTTTTGAATCAAATGAAACAACAAAAAATAATTATAACTCTTTTCTGATTATTTAAATTAAAAACAAAAACTGAAATTTTTTTAAATATTTTTTTTTGTTTTACTTATTTTCTGACTATTTTTATAATTTTCTGATGTAAAATGGCTACTAAAGTTACTAAAAAAAAAAGTCAAATAACTTTTTTTTTTCTCATACTTTTTATATTTAGACTAACTTAAAACTAAAATATTAATGAAAATAAATTTATAATATTTTTTTTTTATAAATATAAAACTAAGGAACAAGTTTTTAATTATTATTATTTTCTTTCTGTTTTAATTTTTTCATTAAAATAATAATTAAGATTTTTTTTTTAAATTTTGTTAAAATTAAAATATTAAAGAATATTGTGTTTCTGTATTAAATATAATTTACATTTTATACTTTAATAATCAAAAATTTTTATTTAATAATAAAATTTTTCAAATCTAGAGATTCTTAACAGTGTTATAAGGTTTGGTATTTTTACATACATAATATTAAATATTTTGAGTAAATTTTGAAAAAAAAAAATTGTTTTGTTTTTTTTTTGGTTTCAATTAAGTTTTACATACTTATGAATATTTAATAATAAAATCTCAGAAAAAATTTATTTTGTACAATATACGATATTTCAAAATGAATATTTTTGTTTGTATTTAACTATTTTAATTTTGTGCCAATTTTAAAATTTAAATATTTCTAAATTTATAATATTTTGTAAATTTCTACATATTAAATGATAACGGTTTCAAATTAGCAACTGAAGACATTCGTCTTACACGTCCCATCATTTTCCTTTCAATATCCTCTAAAGTTTTACCCTGTGTTTCTGGCACCCATATTATAACAAAGAATAAACCAACAACACAAATTGAACCGAAAAGCCAAAATGCACCATACGTTCCCATTCCATCTACAAAAACAAACACATTAATATTATGTACAATATGATTAGAATGAAATATTTTACTAACCAATTAAATCTTGAAAAGTTTTTGTTACTAAAAATGTACAAGCCCAATTAAATGCTGTAGCAACACTAGCTGCAGTACCACGAATTTTTCCTGGTAATATTTCACCCATCATTAACCATGGAATAGGACCAAAACCTAATGAAAATCCAAGTACAAAAATAACAAAACTTGCTAATGGTAACCATCCTACACTAGATAAATCCATTTCTTGATCTTTACAATAAAAATAACCACCGAGTGTAAATAAAGTAATTATCATAGCAACATCAGAAATATAAAGTAAAATCTAAAAGAAAACAAAAAAATTGAAAACCAAATATGAATATTAAATGAATAAAAAATTTTTTTTTTTTATATTACTCTTACCTTTCTACCCAATCTATCAATTAAAATAGTTGCTATAAATGTTGCAATAAAATTAACACAACCAACAATTATTGTACAAATATTTCCATCAATTGTTGATCCAGCATCTTTAAATATTTGTACTGTATAAAAAATCACAGCATTAATACCACTCAATTGTTGAAAGAACATAAGACCCAATGATATTGATAATGGTTTTATATTATTACGTCTTAATAATTCGGCCATTGGATTTGATGTTGCATGTTTTTCAGCTTCAGTATGTGAACGAACAATTCCTTTAAGTTCTGGTTCAACATCAGCTTCTTTACCACGTAACCAACGTAATGCTTTTCTTGCACGATCTTCTCTACCCTGACCAACATACCAACGTGGCGTTTCAGGTATTAAAAACATTAATATTAAAAATGGTATTGGTAAAGCACCACCCAAAAATGCTAAATATGACCAATTCATATATGTACCAGCAACAAAACATACAAGAATACCAATATTACCAAAAGCAGTTGGTAAAAGACCTAATGTACCACGTACTTCTGGTTGTACAGTTTCACCTAAATAAACTGGTAATGATAATGATGCAACACCAACACAAAATCCAGCTAAAGCACGTCCAACAAATATCATAATAACATTAACAGCACAAGCAATTAATAACCATGATATAATAAATGGTATAGCTGTTGCTAAAATTGTATTTTTTCTACCCAAATATTCAATAAGAGGACCACCAGCAATACCACCAGCTAAACCTGCCAATGGCATTAATCCACCAATCCATGAAGCCTACAAATAATTTAGAGAAGAATTGAAATTAAAATTTGTACAAATTAAATAATATAAATTTATATTATTTTATACCTCTTGTGGTGTTACATCAAATGCTGTAATATTGCGATCTGTCATGGAAACTAAAGCTGGAGAAGTGTAAGCAGAAGAAAAGCCAACAACCATAGAACCCAAAGATACTGATAGGGCAGCTAATACCTATTTTTGTAATAAAAAAAATTTTAGTTAAATGATTCACAATAACATGGAAGATAAAAAAAAATCTCAGTTTTAATTTTTATTATTAATTTTTGATATTATATCTCGTAGGTTATTGCATATACTGTGGTGTAAAATAAATTCAATAATGCTGATTTGAGTCGTCAATTCAATAATCAATCAACATAAAATTTCGACCACATTAAAATCAAATCATATTTCAGCAGAGATCAAATTTAATTTTCATCATTCCACGCAGTAAATTATTTTATTTTTGAATAAAATTAATAAACGGCAACACAACAAGACTTTATTAAATAAAATATTTTATAAATTAAAAAATAATTTGTTCGCATTTCTTTAAAAATTTTCAAAATGAAATTTTTTGTATTGAATTTTAATTTAAGTATTTTGTAAAATTCACAATAATTGCATATTATTTATACAAAAATAGTTGTAAAACCTGTTCAATAGTGAATTTCGCTTTTGGTTCCGTTTCAGGTATACTAAACGATACATGTGTATCGGCTCGCATTAAAATTTTCATTTTTCGTTTATAGTTTCTTTCTTTTTTGTTGTTGACTTTTTCCTAAATTTTTTACTTTACAAATAAAATAATTATTATCAATTGGAAATAAAAACATAAAAATTTCACATATTATTAAAATTAAAACCAAAAATACAAAATAAAAATCAAAATCTATAAAGTGCGAACTTTATTTATTCAGCAATATAATTTAAATTGCTGAATTGGTTAAATTGAATTTACATCTACAAAATAAAGGGGGTGCAGAAATTTTGATTTAAAGTTAAATTTAACCCATAATTTTATGAAATTTAACGAAACTTATCAATTGTGATCATCAATCAAATGTAGTTTATTGAATTTTTGGAATTTCCGGATTGGACGCCGTGACTTTCTACTATTTATTATAATATTTCGTCTTAAGAACATACTGACAGATTTTGTCAGTTTTGCCAAAAATTTGTTTATGCAAATAATTTTCGATAAAAAATCGAATTTTCCGATAATAGAGTTAAAATAACGAAATATTTGTAAAACTGTGCAAGTAATAAAATTAAAATTATAAAAAATATATTAAAATAAAAAATTTAATATTGAAAAAATAAAAAAAAAATAAAACTTACATCACGATAAAATCTATTGTCTAATAGGAAAATTTTCTTCAAAATTATTTTAAACATTTTAATTTTGAATTTTAAAATTAAATCTTCTAAATTATTGTGTTTTTTTTTTTTAAATTCTCATTTTTAAATTATTATATTTTGCTGATTATTTGAATATCCTTTTACTTTTTCAATTTGTAAAAATATATTTTCTATATAGCAAAGAAAAAATTATTAATGTAGAATAATTTCTTATTGAACCACACATAATTTACATAATGCAATCATAATTTCAAATAATTTCAAATATTTTAATCGGTTTTAAACCAATAATACAAAATAGTTATACAATGTATCGTCTTTGCTTTTTCTACATAAACATACAAACAATGTAAATTTCAATCATTTCAGCACTCATTACAGAAATATTTCTTTTAAATGGAAAATTTCCAATTTAATTTTAAAAATTCTATATATAAAAATTGCTCATTATTGCATTCAATAATGCATGTTTGCCATCACTAAATCAATTTATTTTTTTTTTAACTGCAATTAAATCTTAATTTAATTTTCCAATTTGATCTACTTAAATTCATATTTAAATAAAATTTATAAAGAAGTTGTTAAGAATTTCTAATTATTCTAATATTAATGAAGAGAAAGCGATCCTATTCGGCCGGCATAAAGCCACACAATATACCACTTTTTTTTTAATAAAATGTCAAAAGAATACTAAAAACACATAAAAAAAAAATTTATTATCAGATGATTTATACGAAGATTTCTCTCTATTAATATAATTTCAATATTTTATTTCCTCCTTAAGTATATAATGTAGAAAAATGAAAAAAGGAAAACTTTCAAAGTTTTTTTTTTTGTACTAAAAATAAAAGGATAATAATGTAGTGCGCTTATATAAAAGAATATTTATGTAGTTTATATAAGGATGGTAAATATATTTATCGATATTCGATACATATTGATATTCGATACCAGATAAATATTTGCTAATTTAAATTAAATTAACTTTTTTCCCATATTTATGTATTTTAAAGAGAATTGACATACTAAACATGACCTTTTTTGTAATATTTTTTTAATTTCTAACAGCTTTATCGTATATCTCGCTTTTTCTTCTCATTTTTATTCACTTTCAAATCAGAATTTTCCGTTTTACTAATGGATTCTTGTATTTGATTGAATTTTGTGTACATTTTAGAAAAAAAACAAGATACGCAATACTAAATAATTTTTCTCATTCGAAAATTACTTTGTCAAACATATAATAGTTACTCACTTTCCTCTCACTTTCCGAGTAAAATTCACTCAATTTCCGATGGACGATTAGGCCCAAGATAAGTTAATCTGGCGTTAGATCTTCAATTTTGATATCGGCCCAGATTTTTGTCTTTTTTAAAAATACATAGAAAAATATTTCTGAAATTAAAATCTACATTTTTGACGTTAAATTTCTAAACTTTACTCCCGTTTTAAGGAAATTGTTAATTGCACAATCACAAATAAATTGCACCAACAATTTCGTTTTTTATGTAATTGTCCATCTCTAATAGTTTATTCTTGTAAAATATACAAGTAGGACTCATTACTTATATATATATTAAACTATATTAAATATACTTTGTATGCATTTGCGAATATTGTGCGCTTTACTTAATAGCAAAATAAAGAGAAATAGAATAACGGAGAGGAAGAGAAGCGAAAACAGGGAGGAAATATTGTGCGTTTTTGAATGAACAAGCTTTATATACACTATCATTACCCTGTCATTTATTTACGTAGTTATGCTGAATTTTATATTATAACACTTTCTTATATAATACATATATTATATTTATTGTGCATTTTTTAGAATTTATAGAGCTTATGATGACATATTATTAAAATTCTAAAATATAATAGAAATAATATAAGAAGAAGTGATAATGAACTTGGATAAATAGGGAAGTAAATAAATTTATAATAAATTCAATAGTTTATTTACTCGTAAGCTGCTATTATAATGGGAAAGTAGAAAATATACATACATATAGTATGTGCAATTATTTACGAATGTGGCAGACTGTGACTGTAAAACTATATTATTATTTGAAGGACATTTTTTTTTGTATATAAATAGTAAAAAGAATGCGTTATTTTCTTATTTTTGCTTACATGTTAAGGGACTCAGGCGGATATACGCGTTAATTGTGTTTTAATAGCTTCTGAATTAAAATCTTTTCTATAATTTACAAGTCTAGTTTCATAGTTAAACGGAAGTACAGAAATTATTAAAAAGAAGAAAATGTTAATTTATACGATTATATAACAGTAATTATTCATTGATTATACATAATATATATTGTATACGAGTATATTAAGTATTTACAAAAATCTATTAAGAGAAATTTTTCAATTAGCTTTTAGTCTTTGCCCCATTTTATATTTATATTTGAATTTTCATATATGTACATACAATTTTTGTTATATGACATATGGAGTCATGCAATTCGTAAATGTACATTATGTAAGACATTGCATTAATGAGGTTATGTTTATATTATAAATATATGCTTTAAATATTAATATAACTTTTCGCTTACTGTATGTAGTTTTGAAAAATGTAATATTGATATCTAATTTACTACCTTATTCGTGAAATGAAAAGTTGAAGAGATATATGCCCTTGGTTAGGGGCATTTAATGGACCTTTTTTTGCAATCCAGTTACTAAGATCAATTTGTTAAACAAAAACAAAAGGATGTATTAAAGTAAATTTGACAATTATAATGCAAATTTGGTGTGAAATTTCTTACTGAGAAAATTTGACTTAAAACTATTATAGTTAGTCACAATGTATGACTCATTCGAAACTTGTTCTACAATTCAAATAATTCAAAACATCATTATATGATTAAAATACATTTAGCATATAAAGTAGATTAAAACTAGTTTTTATTTTCAAGTAATTAAATCTTAAAATTAATTCGTTTATAGACTTTTTAATTACAATAAAATTAGCTGATAATTATTATAGAGATCAATCATTAATGGGGATATATTAACACTTTAAGTTTACATATATTTAAGACCTATTAAGGCACATTATTGAATTAGAATTTATGCAAAATAATTGCAATTTTTAATTATAATTACAATTAGATTTTACATTTTAATTCTAATTCGTGATTCCTTCATAATTCGTAAATTTTCGTCATATGTTCATAGTATTATTTTATTTAGACTTGGTTGGCTGATTGACGCAGTCGGTACGCGACAGCAGTATCGCATCCCTATTAGAATAAATATGTCATTTTGGTACCACCACTCTGTGATCAACAGGTTATCTTTTAAACCGGTCTTGAATGGAATTTGTTAAAATCTACGATTTCAACTTCGATACCTTGTTCAGCCCTGTTACGTTTTATGTTCTCAGCTTAATATCACATATAGGTCAGCTACAAATTTAAATTTGAAGTCGAATATTGTAAAGTAGTCATTTTTCGATTAAAACTTAAGTCTATATATAGAATTTACATTAGTGATCAAGTGTCAGAAATATGAAGACAAAAAAAGTAACAATTTTGTTTTATGACGGTCAGGAATTACAATAACGTTCGTTTAATTTTATAATTACTTTTATAATTACTTTTGTATGAACTACAACCGAAATCTCTACCAATTACTTTGAGGAAATATTGAGTTTGTAATAATGAAAATCTCATTGTCTATAATTAAAATATTTTTGTTGGTTTAAGGTTTAGGAAGTAAAAATCGTGAAATTTATACATAATTTTTTAAAATTTGTAATTAATATATGTATGACTATAATTATATCGGAACTTCTTTTTCAATATAATTAATTTAAATTTATT